TTTCAGGAAAGAAAATACATCTGCGCAATCAATAATTCAAAATGCCTAGAAATATAATGTGTCATAGGAATCTATCTGTCTTATCTATCTAACCATTGTGAAAATTGTCGCCTTTGAAACATATTTCTTTGTACTATTTTAACGTCATTTGGGTCAATTAATAGAAGAAAAAATTATCACGCTCTCTTGTAAATAAATTGTGTTGAATTTTGTATCCATGAAGTTGATCTGATTTCTATTTCCTTGTTTAATAATAAATACACAATATCAAGAATATGGGAATGTATTTTTTTTTTATGAATCTCATGCGGTAAATGCTTAAAATTATTCAGTGGTGAACAGCAAAAGATAACTATCTCAGAGTGGATGACAATCTCAGAATGGATTACAATCTCAGAGTGGATAACAATCTCAGAATGGATAACAATCTCAGAATGGATAACTATCTTATTATCTTATACATATCACATCATAATCCAGTGTCAATTCTCCGGGATTACTTTTCCTTCGAATATTGATTTTAGTTGTAGCATAACGTAATACTGAGATGTCTGGAGCTTAGTGCCACATAGCAAAAAGTATAAATGTGGCTCTTCACCTGCATCGTACATTATAACGAGATCTTTTTATTTTTTTTATTATGAATATATTTCTCTTTATTACAAGATCTTTTTTTTCATAATAAGGAGATAATTAACTAATTTAAATAAATAAATGAACAACATTGAGTTTTAATACAGTTAAGCAAAGAATTAGTAGACAATAGAAGATTTTAACATGAGCAATCTGGCAAATTAGCATGAATATTTACAATTTTACAATTTAACAGCATGACACATTTTAATTTATTTTTATTTTTTTTTCTTTACATCCTACAATGATTGATACACTTGGATAAAAAACTTTTACAAAAATATTGGGATACAAAGACAAATCAGATGCATGTGTTTTCTAATGTTTATCCTTTAGAATTTAAATCGGTTGATTATCTTTCTTTTCTGTCTTGAGCTTTTCAGCTTACAAAAATCTATTGGACTTCCGTTGTAAGCTTCCAATTCCGGACGGTTGAAGACGTCATCCAAGGTGTCCAGTTGTAAAATGATTTTAAAAAATTCAAGAGAATAAACTTCAAGGAATCAAAAAAAAAAAAAAAAAAAAGAAAGATTTTCAGGCATGCACATTGAATTAAAATTGAATCAAAATTTTGCAGTGCTCGATTGAAATAAAACTTTGCATTGCTCCTTGGCAGTAAGGCGACTAGGAAGGACCATAATTTAACACAATCATCAGTTTTCGGCTTATAATCATAACTTACTACAATTCTCAATGACACAACACATTGACATTACACTGAAAGAACTTTCAACATGAAATTTCTATACAAGCAGGAACTCTTAAATTTCATATTTACTGGATACAACTATGTCATTCAGGTAACTGAAAGTGGACTGATAGATTTCTGGTAGGTAAATGAATGGTAGAGCCCTGCAATTCAGTCACCTTTCATAGACCTTTCATTTACTGAACGGTGCACTGTCATCCTATGATTGAATTATTTCGTCCTGATGGATACATGTATCTACCAAATACACAACAATTAACCGAGAACGCAAGCAAAAACTCTTACAAAACTAAGAAAAAACGGAGGCATTTTTCTGATTTTGAAGCTTATTAAAAGAAATATGCTCCGTAAATTTGCATGTAATTCTAAGAAGAAAAAAAAAACAACATTCCAATCGCATCAGCCTATGTTGCGAGTTACAAAAGGACCCTATGGAAGAAACAAAAGAAAGACCCATAAGGTTCGTTGTAAAAAGTAGTAGAGACTTATTCGTGTTTCACATTTCAGAAGTTTTATGAATATGCACATCTAAGCAAACGCTATAGATTTGTGCAATACTGTCAAACTCAAAACACGTGCTTACAAGTAAAGACGAAATGTGCTTACTCGCAAAATTGTTAAACTCTAATGCAAGATGTAGTTGAATATTTTCCCCCGTTTGTTCGAACCCGTCTGTAAGCTCATCTATGTACTTTTTTCGCCTTTTTACTGATTGATATTGGTAATATTATATTTTTCTTAATTTCCTTTCAATATGTCAATTATTCGCTTCAATTACCCGTGTATCATTCGATTCTGAAAAGTTGTTTTAAATTACGTAGATAAAATGAACATTACTAACGATTACTGTCTTGAAACTGTTTTAAATACTATGAAACTTTACTCTGCAGGTTTATTTATTTATTTATTTTTGAGATTGAGTGAGTTTATATCTCTAAATGATGCATCTGACATGAATTTAGCAAATAATATCATGTTTGTTTGTTTGTTAGTTAACGTCCCTCTCGAGAATTTGCTGATAGAGGCCTATACTCGGCACTTAGGGCCATTGTGCAGTGAGGGATATTTTTCGTGCCAGCACCTACTGCGACACAGGACCTCGATTTATACGTTCTCTTCCGAAGGACCAGCCTCCACGTCCCGCAGTGGGATTCGAACCCGCAACGTAAGGATCAACTCCTTACACCGCGACTCTAAAGCAAACGCTCTAACCACTGCGCCACGCTGGCGACACAAATAATATTAGAATATACGAGTACTATTTCCTTTTTAGAAATATAACAATGGATGTAAAAATTGGAGAATATGAAATAGAATTGTTTTAAATTCGTAGTTTAAAAAACATAGATTAACTAACGTAAAAACTTTGATATTACGAGGGTTGTTAGAAAAGTTCGCGGACAAGTTCTATTGTGAGCGCGCTATTGCGCTATCGGTAATTCTCTGCAAATGAAAACTATACGTATTTTTCAATAAACATGCAAAGATTCAGCGTTTTCCCATTATCCTTAAAAATATACAGCTGTATTATTTCGATAAATATGCTTCACTGAGCATGTCACTTTTTCGCACGTTTACAATACATAATCATTTTTTTTAAAATTAAAAATTGCACTGTTGAAGCACATAAAGATTTATGATATTTCACCTGTTGCTGCAATATTCATAAAATATCATTTGGCGAAAATTTGACTTAAATTAGAGGGGTCTTGACTGTTTTACCGCTAATTATAGATGATCAATGCGTGAAAACAGTCATTGAACGTTTTGGAGCATCAAGCTATTGAAAAATTATCTGTGCAGACAGGAAAATGCACGAAAGAGACTAAAATGTTCAAAAACGATACCTGGGATTGTCTACATTTACTTAGGACCAAATTGTTCAAAAGGTAGTATTTTTGTAAGAATGGAGGGATTGAAATTTTTGATGATCAACTCCTTGATATCCAAAAACCCCACTTACGGATTTTGAATTCTTTACATACCTGATCGCTTAACTGTGAAGCTTAACTGTGAAGACATTCATTTAAGATATCACTAATATCTGAAACACTACAAAAGACGTTTCAGAAAATACAAGTATCATGTTTTGATGTAGTTATTAATTTTTAAGTAGGAAAAAGGCACGGAAATTTTATAGAAATGAAAGACATTTTAAACTATGATAAAGAGAGACAGCTTTGGAATCAGGTTGTCGTGTCACCTAATATATATATATATATATATATATATATATATATATATATATATATATATATATATATATATATATATATATATATATATATATATATATATATATATATATATATATATATACACATATATATATATAAAGTCAAGTGATTGCTCCGTGAACCTTTTGACCGCAAAGTAAAAATCATGTATATTTTCAAACTTTTAGTAAATGAACCTAATTTTTTTTACATACTAATAAACAAAAGATAAAAATTTAATCAGACACATATTTTTTTTTAAAGTACACAATAAATTTTCCGTAAATCAATGTGTCCGCGAACTTTTCTAACAACCCTCGTATATCAAATTAGTTTACTATAGTTTTGTTTTAGAGTAATTCAATGAAATCAAAATGTTATATAGCTAACACAAAGAATAACCCCGAAAGCAAGCTGAACATAAATTAAATATATAAAACGGGGAGGGGGGACAAACATTAACCTGCGCAGGTATGTTAAGGCAGTAACCAAGTGATATTTCGGCGAATTTAGACTTTTTTCGTAAAATGTACATGTAACATTGATAAATCGGAAAAGCCATACGTAAAACATTTACTATTATTATCCATTGTATAGACGTCATTGCATCTTTGTTGTTATAGAACGACAGAGGAAAGGCTGATCGGGATTTCAAAACATGCCTGTGTTCAATATAAGAAAACATGATAAGAATAAATCAGCGTACCTGATTGTTAAGCTTTAATTCCACACATAACATTCACGGTATATGCTTTAAAAATCCCATATCATATATTTGTTCACATGAATTCTCGTCACGTTTAATTTTCACTCGGCAAATATTTGATCAATAGTTATGACGTCATGGGTTTGGTATTTAACCCCCGCAATAAATACTTAGCTATTTATACCACCGAAAATCGACAAGATTTAGTTTATATTATGTTTTTGAATGATTACATACAATTTTTGGACCTGAAATTAAACTTTAAATATAGATATTAAGAAATCATTATCTCTTAAGTTCACGACATACAGCTTACTATGACGTCATATTGTATAGGCAAGTAGGATATCTGGGTGTAGCCTTAACATACCCGCGTGGTCGTTCAGCAAATAGTCGAACTTTGGAAATATATCAAACCATACTACTTCAAAGTAATTACCAATAAAATATATTCATTTTAACACTGATTCAAACAACAAATTTTTTTTTTGCCTTTTTTTTTTGATCAACTCCCTCTATAAATTTGTATATAATACGATATTATTTTATAGTAATACTTTAGGCATCCCCATCTCTCTCTTCCAAAAAGCGCGACAAAAATTTGAGATTCAGAGGTAATCCGAAAGCTAGGTACAAAAATATGCCATGGCCACCATTAAAAAGAGTATGCAACATGGAAAATAACTGAAATTCAGTGAATTGAGCCAGAAAGCCAAACAACCAGGCCACACCAACGATGGTAGAAAGGCGGAAGTACGCACTTAATTTACTCTTATCCTTTGACTTTCGGATTTCTGCCTTGACACAGATCCGAGATAATGTCACAAGAAACATGAAAGAATTGATAGAGATGAATAAACCAACTGGGAGTGTAAAAGTAAAGAGGGTCATCTTGGGGTCAGCAACATAGCAGGTGCGAGGAGAGTAGCCCAGGTTTTCCCCTTCACTTTGCACAAAGCTTACAATTACATTGACAGCGACTATTGCCAAACATAGAATTACATCCATCAGTAAGAAAAATAATACCTTCGAACTGTCTTTCTTCTGTACATTTGATATTGTCGTAAATGATTGAAAGATTTGGAAAGTAGATAAACTCATCCAACATATGACAGAGAGCCAAAGAAAATGAACCAGCATGCCAATCCCAATACACAAGGACTCATTCCAAAGAAAAAACTTAGAGAAAGTGTAAATTGTATTTGCCAAAACTGACAACACAGCTAATATAATGATGTTGATATCTGCGACTGATCTGTGGGATTTATTAAGAAAAAACGTTAGTATAGTAACCAGAGAAGCAATGGAGGACAATGAGAGACAGATAAGTGAAAAATACTTCATTAAACGGTCTTCTGAAAATTCCCTTTGAGTGTTTGCTTGGCTGACAACTTTGAGATACTGGTCGACACATATTTCTACACTGCGTTTATCTTGGGACTCTTTGAACTGATTCGAGGAGAAACATGCTTGATAGTCTACAAGACATACAGAGAAATTTGACATATCTATTTTGGCTTCTCTTGTACTCACTTCTACTTTAGGGCAGCGATACCAGTCAGCTACGACGACCACCATATCATTTTGGAAACATAGAGGCCGCTTGGGGTCATAATCATAATAGTTTAGTCCTACAGCACCCGGATATAAATACATTTTATCTAGACTCATTGGGTTCACATAGAAACGGTCACGAATATTTGTTCCAAATAAAGAATTACCGTGCATATGAAATCTTTGCCCAACAACAGAAAGAATGACGTTAACTTCGCGCTTCAGAGATACTAGATATACTGCCATTTTCTGTATAGAAAAGGCATTCATCAGCCTCTGTATCATTAAATCCACGTTATGAAAATGGCCTACCGACAGTTCAAGAACAATTGCCAAGAAATCTGGTTTTAACGGAGTCAAAATTGAAATCCGACAGAGATAATCAGTGAAATGGTGACTAAATATGATGCCTGCTAAAGATGCTTCGACGTCCCTTAAATGGTATTCCCAATTAATCATGTCGGAATCTTCTAGAAAAGTGAGCATAAGATTTAACTCGTAATTGCTCTTCCCAAGCATCGGATAACGAAGTTGGCAGGCTGAGTTGTTGTACTTGTATTCTGCTTCACATTCAATATCCAGACACTTGGACTAAAATAGACAAGGCAAAGTTTTAGAAAGTATTAAATCAACATGTTGTACGAGTAGAGCCTTAAATATACTATAAACTAGCTTCAACAATACTTCAACTGTACAAGCAGGCTTCGAAAAGCTTGAAATCACTTTATTGTAAACTTTATATCTTCCTTATTTGTTGTCTGTTTTGATCCAGAGGAAATTTATAAAACTTACAAATCAGGAAAATGAAAAAAGAAGAAGAAGAAGAACAAAATACCATTTTACTGTCAAATACTTGATTTGTTGCGCAATTAGAGTCTTCTGTGTGCACTTTGATTTCATTTTGTTTGAAATCCATCAGAGCCGAAAACGATGAAAGCATAGAAGTGAGGGAACCTTCTCCACTTAAGTCATTTTGAATCGTAAGATCAAAAACTACTTTATCACACAGGGCACAATAAACGTTTCTATAAACTATATTGGAAGTTTTGTAGGGTAAGTAGTATTTCTGGCAAGAGTCAATGAGAAGAGCTTTTGTTTCTTCCGTTAGTCTGTGTGTTTTGTTGCAAGTAGGATCAACTCGAGCTGTATAGGTTACACAGGGATTAACTATTTGTTGAATGGATTTTGGGGGATGAAAACCAATGTTGCAGACTGAACTGCCTATTGAAAACACAGATTGGTAAAGAGTTTCAAGTTCGTCATTTGAAAAAAGCGCGGATCGATTCAGGCAAATTTTTTCCCTGTCCCAAGGAACCATATCAAAACTTGATTCATTATTGCATAATGCGCACTGAATATTAAGATACGTTTCATTGGTTAACAATGACGTCACTGGCGTAGCATTGGTAATATTTTTAGATTGAGATGACAAACAAGTATAACCATTTAGACACGTTTGTATCATCCAGTACGATTTCCCAGATGTGATTCCTGTGTCTTTATTCCATAATGGTTCAAGGCAAGACTGTTCCTTTTGTTTTTCCTGTACAATTGGCATGTATTCAATGAAGTCTGGAGTGATTGCTTGTCTGTAGAATTTAGAGGGACAACAAGTGGCTTTTCTCACACAAGAGTCTTCACATTCGCATGTTGTACACGACGGCTGTTGGGTGAAAGTAAAGTTTCGTCTGAATTTTTTTCCAAGACACATATCTTGTTCTGGGCATAGCAAAAGGTAATAGTTAAGCAAGGTATGTGCCTCTCCTCTGTCGATCCATGAGGTGAGATTATCGGTTTCTGTAAAGTCGTCAGAAGTTGGGTAAAGCGAACCCTGGAAATCCGTGATGAAGCCACCCAAAGCAACACCAACTGTTGAAGTTATGAATAAAATGGAGATCTATAAAGGATATAGAAAATGATGGATATTATTAAAATAATTTATCTAACTTAAGTAATGAACTCGGCCATTATGTTTATATCTCAAAGTACAATCAACTTTCCGCTTCAAATCAATTTGAAACAGATTTCTTGATAGAGATTTTTCGGATAATCCTAACTTTCTAAACAGAAAAAAAATGTGCTTCATTTTCCTTAGAACATTTTGGAATTAGACTTGTATTCGAGAAAACTTTAATTTAGGCATTTTTTTTCTGGTCAACATAGGTTTTACTAATCGTTTGCTTTAATAAATTGGATTTTAGGTCCCTCAATTTTAATGCTTGAGAACATTTGCATAGCTAATTGTCGATATTTGTCGGTTAATTCCCCTAACTTGGTTGCGCACTGCTCGTTAACGTTCAATTTTACTTCCGGTTTAAGCTGAAATGCTGTCTTGTTGTCGTGTGCCGGGTTGCTCAACTCGCGGGGGACTTAACTTTCCTAAAGATGAGGCATGGAAAAAGCTGTAGATTATTAGAAATAGTAGTTTAAATAAGCACAAGCTATGGTCCCAACATCCACGGAGCGTAATATGTGATTTCATTTCAAGGACGAGGACTTCTGTACAGAAACTAGATACGGTGGGTTGATTTTATGTCTGTTATAAAAATGATTTTTATTTATTAAATTTTTTTTGTTTCTTTATTCATGATTCAGCAATATTCAGCAATATCTCGTTTTACCATCCGAATTTCAGTGGTATGCAAATAGTCAGTAAATTCCTAATATAATTATATGTAAAAGCCTTAATAACACTTATGTCCGAGCTTTATGTGTAAATTATCATTGTATAGATTCACACAGAGATAATAATGATATAGATTCTCATAAAAATGACGACAGTATTTCAAATTGTTTTTGTTCATCAATTTAAAAAAAAAAAAATATTTATTTCATGTTACATGCTGTTTAATTTAAACTTCAGGGAACAGCCACCCATAATGATTAGAAATTGGACGTCAATCAAAATATGTAGTGAAATTGCCAATTCCTTTCTTCTCACTGTAAATAGTTGGCATTGTCATGTCTATTTTGATATGTTATAAGAAACTACGGGAACTCCGAGGAGACTACAAATGCAGACACCACAGTGAAAGATTGCTGGCCTCTGACATCAGCATATCCAAACAACAAATCCCATGATCATGATAAAGAGGCTATCTAAAAAAGTCAAAGACACAATTCACTGGATAAGATATTTTTGCATCTCTATTAAAATATAAAGAAATGTTTTGACCACAGTAATCAAATTTTGATACACTGAAGCTATGTCTAAGAAATAGTACTGTTATAATTCTTTTGTAATTTTAAATTTGACTTATGTAAACATGACTTAACTCTAAAGAAGCAATGTAATCAGTGCATGTAAATCTGTACATGTTTAGTACTGCCTAATTATAGCTGTCAGTTCGAAGAAATTTTTTAGGTGCTGATCCCCTCAGAAGGCAAAGGACGCCACATGCGGCGCCTTCATTATATCCATGGAACAGTTTGAACAGATGAAAGTCACTTGATGAAAGAAACCGGAGACTCATTACGCGTGAAAAGAAAGTGGACAAAACTTGTAGTAGCCCTAAAGAAATCATTTATGAGGATAAAGCTGATCAGTGTCAAACAGGTATAATTTCAAATGTGGGTATTTTTGTTGAAACAACTGCATGTGAATGAAATGGAGAAAGTTTCAAGTGTACAGAGAGCTCATGCGAAAACTCCGCTGAAGGATATAGAGATACTCTGTGTCAGACCATGTCATCAGCAATATTTCATTAATGATATCGAAGGTTTTATGTTTGATACAGGACTCGGAACATACACTGATTTTTGCATGTTCTTTATAGTATAGGGGAAGCTGCATTTCATCTGAATTATATTTACATTCAAGTGCAGAATCTTACAATTGAAAACCAGCTATTTCTAACTCTTAAAAAACTGAGACAACATAAAACTACAGTACGGACACACCCTAACAGAAAGCAAACCCCAACCGAACCCCGGGTTTGCTCGGGGTCCGCTAGAGCTGACCCCTAGCAAACCCAGAGCGCACCCCTGGCGGGCCCAGAGCAAACGCCGAAAGCAAACACCGATTTCAGCAGCGTACCCAGAAAGCGAACCTGGCGTTCGCTATTACGCAACAGAGCTTTCAATCAGGATAACACGTTGACCAATCGGCGCGTCGACCAATCAGCATGTCGGTTGGCATTATGTGCAATTTAGATTCATTTTTATTTTTGTACTTTATATTTACAAATTATAATTCTCTGGATAACATTAAATATTCAGATGATTGCATAATTGTTTATTTATTTTCATATTTTTTTTCTTACAAAATCGATTTAAAGAGGCCGACTGGGGTTTTCATTGCACAATACTTCGCCCAGCATAGTA